TCAGAGAATGGATAAACTTTGTCATCACCTCACACACAGAGCGCACCTGAGCATCACGCAGCTGAAACCAGGCTGAGGAACTCTTCACAACTTGCCAAGGACTGATGCAGGCGCTGTTTCTTAACATCCTGCCCAACACCAGCTGCCTTGGTCCATACTAACCCACAGTCCCCATCAGAAAGCACTATTTAAAGCTTTTGCGCATGGGGACTCATTTGTTGTGCATTCAGTGGAATGCAGTCTGTTATTTCTGCAGTTAGCTGGGCACAAGAAGAACAACAAGTTTCATACCTAGGCAGATAGCTTCTCCTTTTGTGGTGATGACAACAATCTCCTGATTAAGCTCAATACCATCCTCATACCTCAGGACACCAGGCAGCATGATCTTGGCTCCATAGCAAATGGCATTAACCTGAAAATGTAGGGAACAGGAGAGCTTATAAGCTATTAGAGAATAAAAACGAGGTAAGAAGTGCCTCTAGTATTTTAGCTTCCCATTGCCATTACTGTCCCAACAACATCCCTATGTATCTATTTCTTATTGTCCACTATATAAAACTTGGGAGCTTTGGAAGAAGCAGGCAAAGCACAGCACCTATCACAGCAAACAACATGTGAGGCAGATCTCTTATAACCATCAGCATGCTTTTGAAGTGAGAAGAGCAGCTCTCTGCCACTCACTTCTCAGCTTCTGCATCCCATTGCTGATCTGGCAGTGGCCTGTACTAGGTCCTACACAGCTCACAATCAGGACAGCACTGGACACCACGTGGATCCTAATCCCCCATTTATGATATTAGCTGTACAAGTTAGGAGGACACTTTGCAGTCTCTGCCTGTCAATTGACACTATCTCAGGAACTCACCGCACTGTCTTTCATGACTAGCCGCTTGTGTGAAGTCAGCAGTTTCTCCAACGGCAGGATAACTCTTCGCAGGTAGCTGTCATCCTTGTTGTTGTCATACTGCCACTGTGCATCCAGTACATCATGCATAGTCACCATGTTGTCCTGCAAACACACAACCCCTCTAAACTCTCCTACCAGCCGCCAACTTGAAACACACACAAGAAAACAGCTGAAGTCCAATAGCAAATAGTGTGCTGAAAGGGTGTGAAAAACAGATGCCCAACTCAGAAGCATCAAAAAAATAACCTAAAAGAGGCAAGAATACTTTCCATCAACAGCTTGAGGTCAGCCTGACTTCTGCTACCAGACTTCAGCCTTCCTAATCTCAGACAGCACTTGGATCTAGTGTGGTTTCATGTGGTCTACCCACATGTAACTTTGAAATACAACCAAACTTAAACAAATACCTGGAACTTCTAGACAAAGATTAGTGAGTAGAAGTCTAAATTAACCAGCTCTTCAAGGAATGAGTATGGAATGAATGAACGTGGAATAAATTCCTGAAGCAGCTGTGAGCACCCAAACACCTGGAATTCAGAAATGACTGCCAGTGATTACAGATGTGGTAAGAGCACAGATGGGTGGGGAAGCACTTGCACTCCAATACTCCTGCTTTGGCAAGGAAAGAAATTAGTTCTGGAGTTTGGACTAGCAGCAGGATCCAGGTATGACCAGACTGAAGAGACTGTACAAGTGTTCAAGATCACACAAGACTGCATCTCCCAGGCTCGTTTCGATGAAGCATGTTCCCTGCATTGTGCCCTGACACCAAGCGGTCACAGATTGCTAAGCAGACAGCCCACATGCCTGAACTCATGGCACATGTGTGGTTTGTAGGCTGAGAAACACAGGTGGCATAAAACAAACTTTCAGTCACCATGGCGCACTTCCCAGTCACTCACTGTCCCAAAGCTTAATTACCAGAACAGGGACAACACCCTGAACTGAACTCAACACTTTGGTTACAGACCATCTACGGCAAGAGCTCCCATGTTTTTGGGGCTATTCACAAAACTCCTCCCAGCCGCCCACCTATACCTTCTTTAACACTGTAAAACTAACACAGTTCCAAGGAACTCTTGCAATTCTGACAATTTCAAATTTACTGGTTATAGTCAGAGCTACTCTACCTTCTCTCCCAGGATGCCTGAGCGCACTCTGCGAAGCTCTTGCATCTGGCCCCCCACACCAAGCAGCAAACCAAGGTGAACACAGAGTGTTCGGATATATGTGCCTGCTTCACAGCTCACCCAGAAGATACCTGAAACGCAGGGCAGGACAGGACAGAACAGTATTTAAATACATATCTAGAAGCAAACCACATCCAGAAGCTCCCTCCGAGAGAAGTGGTACGTCTAACCCTTCACAGAGCCATCAGCCTGGGGTGATAGATGAAGGTCATCTTTGCACTGAGTGCTAATGCCATCTAATTGACATCATTTGGCTCTTCAATGAAGAATGCAGCAGTACAAAAAAATAGATGGGATTTGCTTCTCAGCACACCACAGTAATGTGCGAAGAAGTTACTGCTTGATGGTGGCGAAGAGACTGGTGGTGAGGATTTATGTCTTGAGACATCTGCTAAGAACAGGAAGCAGCCCATTTCACAGGAAATTTTATCAGCTGTCAGCTTAATAGGAAGGCAGGAAAGCCCTGTTTTACCTAGTCTTCTCTCAGGATCATACTCCACCAGTTTGCTCTCATAGATGGTTCTGACTCTCAGTTGTCGTTTGACAGCAGCAATGAGGGGTGGTCGCTGAAACAGCGCGCCTGTCAGCGTTTCTATTGCCTGAGGGTAGAAGCAAAAGAAGTAACAGCTCACACCTGTGCCCTAACACAGGAGCACCTTGGGGTCTCCAGCAACTACAACCACTTCCATGAGTGAGAAACCACAAGGTTCATCATAATTTGGTGATGTCATATTTAATAAAGCCGATCTGAACCAGTGATGCGGTCAAAATGCTACCCCAGCTGCCAGTGAGCACAGCTGGGCTTTTTTGTCAGGTGGCAGCATGTGATCAGACATCATCCCTCATCTCAGT